CCCTCCCCCCTGTATCTCCCACTCCCCTGCTTCTTTCACAAACATGACCTGGTTGAACCTGCGTTTCCCACCTTGGAGTCTTGGTGAGTGAGGTGGCCCAGTAGGTGGTTCTGAGAGTGAGCTCCACGCATTCATTCTGCACTAACCACTTAGAGGCCAGGCCGGCGGACCTTCTTCTCACTGTGGGAACCTGTCCTTGGAGAGGCCATCATGCTGCGAGCGGTGGAGGGTCAGGGAAAGCCAGGAGGGCCCTCCACATGACGACGTGGCTCATGCAGCAGGACAGAGACCATGAGGATGAGACGGGACAGGGCTGCAGTCAACTGGACGGTACCTAGCCACTGCTGGCTTTAAGGAAGCCCCTCAGGAGTCTCCGTGGCGGCTGCCATGTGCCGCTGAGTCGTCTGTGACTCACAGCGTCCCTATTACAACCGCGCTGAACCTTGCTCTGTCCTGAGCAACCTCACTGTCTCACCCCTATTACCCGAGTCACTGAGTCAACCCATCTCATCGAGGGTCTTCCCCTTCATCCTCCCAAGCATGACGTCCTTCTCCAAGGACTGGTCCTGCCTTGCAACATGCCCAAAGTATGTCAGATGAAGCTTCAGAATCCCTGCCTCCAAGGAGCACACTGGCTTCACCGTCTCCAGGACGAACCTGTTTGTTCTCCTAGCAGTCCATGGTGTATTCAGTACGCTTCTCCAGCACCACAGCTCAAAGGCATCAATTCTCCATCATCCCTAGTCATTGTCCAGCTTTCTGATGCATAGCATGTAACTGTGAAGACAATGGCCTGGATCAGGTGCACCTTAGTCTCTAGACTGACATCGTTGCTCTTCAGTACTCTGGAGAGGACCCTGACAGCAGACTTTGCCCAATCCAATTCGTCTTTTCATTTCTTGCCTGCCAGTACCAAGAGTGCTGATTGTGGAGCCGAGCAGACTAAAGCTGTTAATCTCAATTTCTTCACCATCTGTGCAAGAGGCTGGGCTCTATGAGGAGGAATGCAGCTGACACAACCCTGCTTGCTGAAACTGAGGAGGACCTGAAGCACTTGCTGCAGAGGGTCAAGGACTGCAGCCTCCAATATGGACTGAAGAAAACAAATATTCTCACCACTGGGCCTGTAGGCAGCATCATGATAGACAGTGAAGAGGAGTCTCTGGTTTAGAAATTAAAGAAGGTCTCATGGCAACAGAAAGTGTGGTTAATTGGTTAGATTTTTTTAGTTCTCTTTTGTATTTTCATGGTGGTTAGGATTCCTCCATGGAATCTCTAGCAGTTGTTGCTTGTCTTGCTGGAGCATCTGGAAGGTGCATTTCCCCAGCTGTGGTCTCTCTTTCTCTGGGGTCTGCCTGCAGAGCTCTAGGTACCTGCTTGCACCGGTTTCTGTTCCCAGAGGCCTGGAAGGAGCTGGTGGGCTGGTGGGTGGGTAGCTGGTTCCTGGGCAGGTAGCCCTACAGGGATCCACACGGTCAGCTGTCCCCTAAGACGTCTCTGTTGCAGCAGTGTGGGGCTCTGGCTTGCTCTGAGTGAACTGTGCAGGTGTGCCCAGGTGAAGGACAGCACAGCCCGCTGCACTCTGCACAGGGGCCCCAGCTATCCTGAGGAGGGGATGGGAAAGGTGGGGACCCCATCTGGGAAGAGCTCAGAGGAAGGCTGTGAGTCTCACGCCCAGCCTGGGGCACTGAGGCTAGCACCTAGAAGGCAGGAGGATGGAAGTGGCCTCTGGGTCCCCATAGAGGCGGGAGGGAAGCCGAAGCGCTCACGAGCTAGCTGGGAGGGGGCCTCATTGCGGAGCTGGGGGTGCCCCCTAGCCCAGCTGGCGTGTGTCTCCGCAGCCCCTCCCTGTGTCCCCCTCCCTGCGGCGCGCGGAGCCGGAGGGGGTGCAGCGGAGCGCTGGGCGGGAGCTCGTTATAAGGCGGAGCACAGCGTCCTCTGACACCTCCCCAAGCCTGGCCTGCGCGCACACCGCCCCCAGGACGCCGCCAGCCGCATGGCTCACCGGCCCGCAGGAGCGCTGCTCGCGTGCGCTGGCCTCCTGGCCTTCGTCGCTGCGGCTGCCGGCCTCGGACCCCCAGGGCCCGGAACGTCCGCCCCCCAGGACCCGCCGCCCGGGAACGAGCTGCCCGCGGGGCCGGGCGACAGCCACGTGGGGCTGGTAAGACGCAGCCGGCTGAGCGCCTCGCCAACTGGGCCCCGGGACTCAGTTTCCCTCAGAGGATCAGGGCTGTGTGACCTTAGTTCTAGAGGGTGTGAAAGGGTCGAGTTTAACTCTGGAGCGAGTGGGCAAAGAGGGCGGCCAGTCCCCCCATTAAAGCTGACTTGACCCAGGCCAGGGAACCTCTGTTGAGCACAGAGAAGGAAACTGAGGAAATGCAGTGTAGACAAAGAGGCTCTTAGGGAACAGAGCAAAACCCACAAAGCACACCCACTGCAGTGGAGAAGCTCCAAAATCCCAGCAAACCTGCAGGGCAGAGGAGAGCTGCCCAGAGGGCTGCCCTCTCCCAGAGCAGACAGACCACCATGTCTTCCTTCCGGGGGACTTCGAGTTCCATACTCAGTCACTGCACCACCAGGGCTCCTGTGAGCACCTTTTTTACCTCCTGGTCTGTTTGGTGTCACTCCAGGGCCTGAAACCTCGCCAGGCAAAGTCCAACATGGGCAGCTGGGAGGACAGGTGATGGGGCCTGTGGAGGGACAGCCCTTGCGGGCTTGGGGACATGACCATGGAGAAGGACACGGCCTGGCTTGTGAGGTGTGGAGGGTCTGCAGGCAGGGCCACAAAGCAGGCACAAAGCTTCCTGCCGCACTGGATGGCACTGGGACTGGCTATGTTCCAGGAACCCCTCGGCCAGCGGGCTCATGGCGTGGACCCACGGGACACCTGGATGCTCTTCGTCAGGCAGAGCGAGAAGGGCATCAACGGCAGGAAGCGGAACCGAGGCAAGGCCAGGAGGCTGCGGGTGAGTGCCACCGCCCGGCAGGGACAGTGTGGAGTGAATGCCAGCCAACAATAGGAGGGCGAGGAAGAGAGTGAGTGACAGCATCCACATGTGAGGGAGTGTGTGCAATAGAGCGTGAGTGCAGGAGTGCAAACGTGACAGCGAGTGGGCGTGTGAGACGGAGAGTGAAGGAGAGCGGAGCAGGAGCGCGTGCGTGTGTGGGTGTGGCCTAGAGTCGTGTGCGTACACGTGTGTATGTATGCTGGACATGGGAGGGTGCGGGTAGAGACAGTGTTTCTGAGAACATGTGTGAGTGCATGGACAGTGTGCAGGATGTGGGACTGTGGACTGTGTGAGTGGTCACAGGAGAGGGACCTCTACCTGCTGGCCCACCCCAAGCCCCCCTCCCAGCCATCTCCTACAGTGCACACAGTACAGCCCCTCAGCGTGGGACGGCAGTCAGGGGACATGGGGTCTTATGCTGGGGCCAGGTGACCCAGAGGAGGGGGCCTGGTCCCAACCACAAGGATGCTGGGTGGCCCCAGTGCCCTGGTCACTTCCACCGATCCCACCGCTGGTCTGTAGCCAGGGCAGTGCCTGTCACTTTTGAAGCAAGCTGGACCGTCCACTCAAACCCTCGACCCAGGCTCCCTCACCTTTAGGTTCCCTTTCAGCTTGGCCTGCCAGGACCTCCTGGACCCCCTGGACCTCAAGGCCCCCCGGGAGCCGTCATCCCTGCTGAGATGCTGCTGAAGGAGTTCCAGCTGCTGCTGAAAGGTAGGGTGACACCTCGGAGGGGACACAGCCAGTGCGAGCTGGCAGGGGCCTGCTGGGAGAGGTACGAACTAGCATATGGCATGTTCTGTGCCCTCGAGTCGACTTCGACTCATAGCGACCCGAAGTACAATAGCTCTGAACCCGGCTCTATCCTGAGACAAGCTCAGTGTTTGACACACCTGCCTTCATTACCAGTTACTGTGTCAATCCTCTCAGCCGAGGTCTTTCTCTCCTTGACCCTTCTGAGCATGATGTCCTTCTCCAAAGGCTGGTCCTTCCTAGCTACACGCCCAAAGTATGTCTCAAAATCCCCGCCTCCAAGGTGCAGCCTGGGCTCCCCCTCTCCTTAGCATTCTGTTATGTACACAGAGCTCAGGCTTAATATTGGAGGAAGAGAACTGTGAGCCGACTGGAGAGGTGAGAAGAGGCTGGGAGACAAAGGGGTCCAGTCCGCCCCAAGCCTCCTGAACTTCAACCCACCAGGTCCGGGGTGGGTGGGGAGGAGCCCCCAGTGCGCACACATCAGGGCCTTGCGCGGTAGGGACAGGCTGGGTAGGGTGGTCCATAGTAGGAGGCATGGGCTGGGGGGCTCTCGGCACCGTAAGGACAGGCGGGGTCTCCGGCGCAGAAGGATCGGGTGGAGGTGGGGGCCCCGCTCAGCCACGGCTCCCTCACCCAGGCGCGGTGCAGCAGCGCGAGCGCGCGGAGACCGAACCCTGCACCCGCGGCCCGGGCCCCGCCACCCTGGGCCCCGCCAGCACGGCCGCCGAGGAGCCGGAGGAGGAGGCCGGTGTCCTCGCCCTGCTGAGCGCGCCCCTGCGCCCGGGCCCGCCGCGCGTCGAAGCCGCCTTCCTCTGCCGCCTGCGCCGCGACACGCCGGTGGATCGCCGCTCGCTGCACGAGCTGGGGCCCTACCTCGTGGTGAGTCCGCGCGGGCGGGGACGCGGGAGGCCCGGAGCCGCGAGTGACCGCCACCTCCCCGCAGCCCGACGCCGAGGGCGCCTTCCGCCGCGGCCCCGGCCTGAACCTGACCAGCGGCCAGTACACGGCGCCCGTGGCCGGATTCTACGCCTTCGCCGCCGCGCTGCACGTGGGTGAGGCCCGCTGCGGGGAGGGGCCGCGCAGCCAGAACACCGCCCCCAGGACCAATCAACACCGCCCCCGGAGCCACGCCCCTGACCTTGCCCCCCCCCCGCCCCGGCCCTGCCCACCCCCTGGGCCCCCGTCCGACTGCCGGGACCCCTCGGGTCCACACTGCAGCGCTGCATCCCCTCTCCTTCAGTGCTCACTGAACCGCTGAAACGAGGGCCACCGCGCGCCAGGGACCACCTGCGTCTGCTTGTCTGCATCCAGTCCCAGTGCCAGAGCAACGCGTGAGTGGGTGTGCCCACGCACCACACCCCAAGCACCCCTCACGCCAGCCCCCCAGAGAGCAACCATCTCGGGCCCTGGACCAGACCTGGCCCGACCCCATCCTCACTGGTCTTGAGCACCTGCGAAGACCCCTGAACCTGCCCTGTCCCAGGTGCTGCTGGCTCTAAGCCTTGGACACTCTCTTTAGTCCCGGCCTCTCAGGTCTCAGTGCCCAAGGTCCCGAGGTCACACCTGTGCCTTCGCTGCCTCACTCACCAACCCCACTGTCCGTCCTTCAGGCCTGGCACCAACACCCTCTGTGTGGAGACTTGGCCAACACTAGTGACCGCGCAGCACTGAGAGTTGCTGGCTGGGGTTCAAACTGGGAGGGGCATGAACTAGACATGACCGATTTGAGCAGAGGACCCCAGGGATGAGCTGACCGGGGTCCTCTCTGATCATAGCTCCCTGGAGGCCGTCATGGGGCTGGAGAACACCAGTGACCTCTTCACACTCGCTGTCAGCGGTGTCTTGTATCTGCAGGTGAGTGAGGCTGCTGGGACTCCTCTCTCCCACATAGCCACAGCAGGAACCCAGCGTGTCCACCGCGTGCCCACAGCCCTGGACACCAAAGGTGGCGCCATTGGCATGGACTTAGGGAACAAGCATGTACTGGGGCCTTGGCAAGGGCAAAGAACCAGAATAACCATCTGTGCACACACTCGCTGACCACTGCAGTGAGGCTGAGTATACCACCATCACTCTCCCCTCTACAGACTGGGCAGCATGCCTCGGTCTTCCTGGACAACGCCAGCGCCTCCTCCCTGACCGTGCGTGGTGGCTCCCGCTTCAGCGCGGTACTCCTGGGCGTATGAGCAGCCAGGGCAGACCCTGCCCCACCAGACGGCTGGACACAAGCAAGGGTCCAAGCGCCTCCTAGTCAGTGTTTGGAGTCAGTGGCCCAGCCTGCAGGGATGTGGACCTGTGTCCTGCTTGCAGAAGCATCTCAGGTGTTCTTGGGCTGTGGTTCTGGAAGCTTCTGTCTTGTTCCATGTGCCCAGATACATTTCATCCTACCCCCCTTGTGCTCCACGGTTACAGTGGGCCCCTTGCTTGTAACTTGGCCCCCTTCCCAGACTCTTCCAGCCACTGTGTGTAGGAACTGCCTTGTGTGGGAGGCCCATCTGTCCAACTTGGGTTTGCAAACCTTTCCCACCACCTGGGGCCCATCCTATCTGTCCCTCCCCACCCATGCCTTCTGCCAGAGGCCCTTAGGGGAGACTTGGCGACCACTACAGGGGAGCGGGTCAGGGGACACTGAAGATCTGGTCCTAGGACTGAGCCTGCAGTTTGCCGCTCCCAGGAAGCCTGGAAGGATGGAAGCTAGCCCCCAGCCGTGGGTCAGGAGGGGACTTCTGGCTCATGTCCACCAACTTGGTGGACACCTAGGATGGTTCCCAGGAGTGAGAAAAGCCAGGCTGTTAGGAATAAATCTGAGATCAATTTATTGGGGGGCCCCTACCAGCCTCAAGAGGTGGGCCACTACCAGGTCTCTGGGTCACACTGTCCGTGGTCACCTTAACTCTCCAGCTGAGCTCAGGTACCCATCCACACACCCGAGTCCAGGTCGTCTTCTGGGGCAAAGCCCCTCCTGGGGACTGCAGACACCCCAGGCCCTGGTTCCCCACCCGGCCAGCCCTGCCCTGTCCTACCAAGAAGCGGGTGCCTGGCCTCCTGGCTGGCTGATAGAGGGGTCACACCCTTCCTGGGTCTCACCCCACACCAGTGAGTGAGCAGTGTTTCAGAGAAGCAATCTATTTCCCTGGAAAGTGCTACATTATCTCTTATTTTTTCTACATAAGTGTATGCTACAGCAATTTATTGAGATATTTATTGTACAGCACTGTCAAGTGAGCGCAGCTATGCAGTGGACTTGATGGGGTGGGGCAAGTAGAGATGCCACATCATCACACCGCGGGACAGTCTGGATTAGAAGAGGCCCCTGGAGCCCACCCGGAGGAGAGGGGGTGTCCCCGAGCAGAGGGGTGTTCTGAGAAGAGGGCGTGTCCTGCTTGCTGTAGGGTGGAAACAGCAGGGCCCTATTACTCAAGTTGTTCCTTCAGTGACATAAACCACAGTCTCCCAGCAGAGCCAGCAGCTGGGCGCAGCCACACCTGGGGTGCCCGCACCCACACCACTCCCCAGTCTACAGGCAGACCCCCGTGGGGTGGGCTAGGCTGTGGTGGGAACCTGAACAGCACTGGTGGACTGTATGTCTCTCTGGGTACTCTTGCATGCACATTCTTATCTGTGCCCTGGAGTCAGTCTCCACTGACAGACCCCCGGATGGGGACAGAGGACCCTACAAACGGGCCACATGGCCATCAGTGAACTCTTAAGATCACTGTCTGTGAGCAGGAATGAGCGAGAAGCGCTCGAAGGCTCAAAGCAGATCTGGGCAGGCAATGCACATGCCATTTCCTGCCTTCACCAGAGGGGCCTCTGTGGACCAGCCTTGGCAGCCACGGCCCACACGACACACAACCCAAAGCTGAGCAGAGTCTATTGCTGGGAGGCCCCTAAACACTTTACACCCAGAGCCAGGCAGACCTGAGGTGGTTCAATCCTCAATGCAGATGCCTGCAGTCCAGACGTGTCCATGAGCAGAGTGGAAATGGCTGGGATAGTGCAAGAGTGGCCAGAGCCAGAGACCAGAAGCAGGCCCCCACAGACTGGCTCGATGCACAGTGGCCCCACCCCTTCAATCTGTAAAATAGGAAAAGGCAGTCCTCCGGGAGCAGGCCAGAGCGGAGCACTGACCACGGCTGGAGCCGAGGACCTGCCGGGTAGGTGACTTGAGATGGCCCGCACTGAATCTCATCTCGGATAAGCCCGGCCCAGGCCCCACACAGAACTCCAGCCAGTCAAGACCCTCCACCTCATGTAAAACGGATGGTCCCCCTCCCCAGGGCTGTGATGCCACCACTTGGCCCAGTGTCAACCAAGATGCACCCGTCCCCGAGCAAATGCCGAAGGGTAAGAAGAGAAGGCAGAAAACTAAGAAAAACCCCAAAACCTTTATTTACAACCAGGGAGCCCCTGGGCAGCCCCATGGGGTGGGCCTCTCACGGCCCGATCCGCACCAGCAGCACCGTGACGTTGTCCGCAGAGCCCCGCTGCACCGCCTTGCTGGCTAGCCGATTGCAGGCTGCCTCGTAGCGGGCGTCCACAGCGGGCTTCCCTTCCCGGGTCTGGATCTTCTCATCCTGTAAGACAGGAAGGGGCACACCTGGCAGGGTGGTCCTGCACCAGGGACCACCAGCACCTGCTTCCAGGCCCCCCAGGCTGCTGCTTCCCCTCCACCAATCAGGTGACCAGAGAGCCCAGCTGGCAGGGTCCCAGCTGTCCTACACGCAAGGATGCGGAGGGGACAGGGCACTCCCTCGGGACATGCTCACCTCAAGGCAGGACAGGATGAAGTTGACGGCCTCCTCTGGGGTGAAGACCTTGAACAGGCCATCACAGGCCAACAGTATGAACCTAGGACAGGAATCCGGGGGGGAAGCAGTCAGTCATGGCCCACAACCCACAGCCTGTGGGCAGGTGAGGGAGGGAAGGCGAGCACACGGGGACCCTGCCTCATGGCCCAGGCCAGGCAGGGGGAGGGGTCTGAGCCAAGAAGGGGCCAGCGTGGTGAGAAAGGTGAATGATGGCCTAGGGAACAAAATGAAGTACTTTTACATCAAGTTAATTTCTGGGATGCTTGTTAAAATGATTAAAAATTACCCATCATAAAAAAAAAAACAACAAAAAAACCCCATCATTACTTTTCAAAGAGAAGAGCGAACTGGGGGGGATGGACAGGGATGCAAGAATGAATGGAAACCCTAAGTCTCTGTAAACTTTCATTAAAATTAATTAAAAACAACAACAACAACAACAAACCCAGCACTGTTACCCGCATCCAGTGCTAACCCAGGACCCCGTCCGTTCAGTTCATGGAGGGGCTTCCTCTCTCTGACCCTCTACTGCTCCCCGCAGCCCCTCAACAGGACAGGGATGTGGGGTGTGGAGAGGTCCAGGTTCAAGACCAGAGAAACCAGTCATGTTCTGAGGCCCCCACAGCCTCCAGGGGTGCCCAGATGTATCATCACCACCTCTGACCCCCACGAGCCCCCGGTGTGGCTGGACAATGGTACAGCCACCAGGGCCAGCAAGGCGTGGCCAGGTCCCGTTCAGCAATGAACACAAGGTGGGCTTTCAGGTGGCTTACAGGCGGGGCGGAGAGGGGGTGCGACACTCTGACAGCCCGATTCACACGTAACAACCCAAAATGAAGGCACGACTGAGGCATTAAAAACTCCAAGGCTGTGGGGGGCCTAGGTGGTCAGCGGGGGACTTCCAAACCAAGTGCCTGATTCTTGGTGGGTGTGACCACTAGTTCAGGGATGGGCTGCACTTGCAGGCATGACCAAGAGCGTCCACTCTTCCCTGTGACCACAGGACCCAGACCTCAGGGATGGCTCTCACCAAATGAGCGCTGGCAGCTGGAATGCCCACTGGACCTCCCCTTAGCCTGTGTCGGGGCCTCAGCCATTTCCCCGACACAGGGCACCGAGCGCATGTGCACCTCTGTGGCTCACACACAGACGGGGACCCACACCCCACAGGGACAGAGCGGGCCTGGTCCACACTGGGGCTGGAGAAATCACCCCAGGAATCCGTCAGAAGCCAGGTGGGAATGTTCCCAAGGCCAGGCTGGAAGTGGCCAATGGATGCTCAGGGAGTGGCCAAGGGACAAGGTCCCCAACCACAGCGCGGGAGGATACGGCTCAGGTACCACTGAGAGACTGGCTCAGCTGCGGTGTGGCCGACAGGTCCTCCTGACCCCATCTTCTCTCAGTCCTGCTGTGTGCTGTTGGGATGGACTCGCCCTTGTCCTCCAGCCTCTGCCCATCTCTCCCACAGAGCAGCTGGTGGGTTTGGACGAGGCACCTTTGGGTTGGCAGTGCAACTCCATCACTAAGCCACCAGAGTCCCTGTGTCCTCCTGTCACAAACGCTCTTAACTCCACCACTGTCCTCAAACTCAGGGTCCTCAACACAGAACAACTGACCCAGCACTGTCTGTCACTAAAGCTTCCTGCCACCTCTTTCCTGCCAGGGGCACCTGACTGGCCTCGCTCTGTCCCTTGGCCTGGATTTCCTCTGCCAGGAAGACAAGCCTTCTTCCACGGGCAGCTCCCCCTGCTGCAGCCTCCAGCGGGCCTAGTGTAACCACCGGCAGAGGCAAATGCACTTACACGCGGGCCAGGAGTGAGCCAAAACACAATTCTCAGCTGTCTCAGGGCCCAGCACAGGCTGACACTCAGCTGCCCACTCACCCATCAAGGGAAGGAGGCCGGGTGGGGTAGGGGAACCCCTGGTGCACATGTCCTGTGGCGGGGTTACCTGTCATTGGGCGTCAGCTGGCACCGTCTGATGTCAGGCACAGAGGTCACCCCGCAGCGCTTGTACTGGCCATCTCCGATGGAGCGCGACACCTCCAGAACGCCCAAAACGCGTCCATCTCTGAGGAGAGGAGGGTGTACTGAGTCCACCTGGTGGACAGGACTGAGGAAGGTGCAGTCACAGAGCGGCTTCACCAGCCAGGCCTCCTCATTGCCTCCCACAGCTCCGCCGCTGATGGCCCGGTCCTGGATGGGGCTGTCCAGGTGCCCGGGGCCTCGCCTGCCAGAGCCGTGTCCACTCGACACCTGTCTGAGCCCAGCAGGGCTCCATGTGGGGGAGAAGGTGGGTGACAGGCCTCACCCCACAGACTGGGGCGCAGATGGCCTGCGATGGGGCTGGCACTGCTTCCTGCTGCATTTCTATCTTGCAGCAGCTCGGGATGCCCGCAGTCAGGGCCCAGAGCGGTGAACAGAGTCGTCTGCACTCCCTCCACAAGGTCAGGCCAAGAGCCAAGTGGCCAGTTCCAGACCTTGCACATCATCTTAGCTCATGAGGACACGTGTGCAGAGCTGAGGGGCAGGGTTCTAAGCACACTTGATGGTGGACACCCTGACTGGGTGACAGGATCCAACAGAACGTGTCACAGCCTGAGAGCCATGGGCTTAGAATCCCCTGTTCTCCTGCTCCTCACGTGTTACAGGAAGGGACCTGAGCAGAGCCAGGAGTTTGGGGGTACATTCGGGGCAGCACTCTGGAGAATGCGGCATGAAGGCCCCCAGGGGCCTTCCCTCCTGGTGAGGATATGTCACAGGCACAACAGCTCTGCAGACACCGATCTCAGAGGCTGTGGTCAACCATCCTCTCCAAGACTCACAGTTTCGCCTCTAGAGACTGAGTGGAACGTCTGCCTGAGAAGGTGACAGAGCTCCCCAGTGACCAGTGAACCTGCCCCCCACCTGCCCCAAGCCATGACCCAGAGGGAACCTGCCCAAGCGCCCACATCCAACACAGAAATCTGGACACATCGAAGGCTGGTGAACAGCGATCAGACCTGCCGTTGGTGCCCATGCATTCCAGATCCACATACCCCCCCCCCCATTCCTGTTGAACTGGACAGCGACCGGGCTAGGTGCTGGTGCTGACCCAGCCTTGGCAGTGTCGGGCTGTGTACCACGCTGATCCCACACTGAGCAGCACGGTGAATCTGGCCAGGGACAGAGCATGGCACCTGTGCAGCGCCCATGCTCCCTGACCACATCTCCCCCCGCCAGGGATCCAGCATGACCCTGTGGAAGGTGCCCCTCCACTCCAAAAAGACTGGCTCAGAACTCTGACTTTACATGACTCCCAGGGGGTTGCCATGAGGACAGCTGGGAGCCTGTGACTTCAGAGAGCCTGGGTCAGCCTGCTGGAGCTAGAAAGACGAATTCTTAGCACAACGCTCAGCGGGACAATCTGTGTGCACACCAGTCTACCAGGACCCCGTCACTGCTCCAGTGCAGCCCATCTCCCAACAATCTCTCCCAAGACCTCTGCACTGACCCCAAGTTATAGGGCACGATGGCAGCTGGAGTGCAGAAGGAACCAAGTCAGGGGAGCAAAGATTACCTTGCCATGAGTGGTTTGGGATCTGAAAGCCACAGGGGTGCGTCTGTCCCCGAGCTCAGCCTCTGAGCTGGACGCCCCAGCTGCCACGGGCATCCCCGCACAAGGGTCCAGAGGCCGGGCTTCAGAGGTTAACAATGATGTGCACAAGGAGGCAGGTTAGCTAAAAGCTGTCCCACTGGCCACAGCAGGCAGGTCCCCACCCCCACAGCTGCACTCCGGACCACTTACTCAAACAGGGAGGAAAGGGAAGGATTCCATTCACCCTGCTTTGCATGGGGACAAGGGATGAGAGAAAACCCTCCCAGAAGGGCAGCTAATGAAGGCGGAAGAACCAGAGAGCTGGCTGCCCTGCCCCTGCCCTGCCGCCCCGACCTCCCGACCTAGGGGGAGCTACGCGCCTAACCATCTACCTTTCCAACTGGGAAGACGATACTTAGATCAGAAACATGCCCCACTGAGCAACACGGTCAAGATTCTGCAGCCCACAAAGATGTGCACCGCCTTCAGCTTTCCCAGGGTGGAGACACCAGCTGGGGGCAGCACACGGACTTCCAAGCCAGCCCCAACCTGCTGTGTCCCCTGCAGGCCACACACCTTCAGGCACGCCACCAGCGCTCACTGCCACTTCCCACCGCCCTCTCCAGAGATCGCCCCAAACTGTGACTCAGCTGTCAGGAGGCAGCCTGCAAGTGGACACGTGACTGGGACAGGACTCCTCTGAACACGCCCCATCCACTCACACTGTCCCCACGCTGCCCAGCAGCATGGCCTCTCCGTCAACTGTGTGCGGACGGTGCATCTGGACCTGTGTGAGGCCTCCCCGTCCACACACTGTCCGAGAGTGTCCTCTCCTCGAACTGGAGGCTGCCCCTCATACAGACAGTCTAACTGGACCTGCATGAGGCCAGTCTCCTGACATTGCCCCCATGCTGTCTGCTGTGGACACGGGGCACCCTGCCACCCCCACGCTGCCTGTCGTGGACGTGGAGACCTGCCCGCCCTCACGCTGTCTGCTGTGGACACGGGGCACCCTGCCGCCCCCACGCTGCCTGTCGTGGAGCCCTGCCCGGCCCCCTCACCTGACGTTGCCCCCCGCCTTCTGGATGCGCATGCGCTCCTCATACTGCGTGGGGTTGTGCTCCTTGCTGAGGCTCAGGGCCGCGTGTCTATGGCTCTCTTCGTTGTAGCGGCACAGGATTGCCTGCGAGGGCAAGGGAAGGGCATGAGCCTGGCCAGCGGGCACCGCGGAGTCGCAGCTCAGCCTCCTGCCCACAAGCTCGCACAAGGAAAGACCGCTGAGGCCCAAGCACCAAAGCAGGCAAGCTGCAGGGAGAAGGCGCAGGCCTCAGCCCTGACCCGGATGAGCAGCCCACGGCCCATTCGGATCACACACGGCCCCACCGGCTGTGGGCTCCTGCTGGAGCGCAGGGCGACAGACTGCACCCCCAGTTTCAGGCTAGTCTGCAGGACACAGCGCACTGCCCGCATTACCGACATATCCTCCCCAATACAAGCTGGAACGGTGGCCTCTCCCGGAGCACACGGGGCCCACGGGGCCACCCAGCCACGTACCCGACTGTCTCCGAGGTTGGCGATGTACAGGGTGTTGTCTACAGCCAGCACGCACGTGGCCGTGGACCCATCCTTCCACGCAGGCTTCCTGGGGAAACAGCAGACACCCATCACCCAGCTGGCCAGCACTGGACGCAGGTGGAGCGCGCCCTGGACTTGAGGAGGACCAGCTCCCAGCCACGGCTGTGCCTCAGCTTCCGTTAGGTGCTGAGCTTGCTGGTGCAAAGCACCCCGAGGACAGCGCACCACTGTGACCCCAGAAACTGGGCTGCAGTCCACCCACCGGGACAGCAGCGCCAAAGACATGCCCTCAGAGGCAGCCTCTCAAGGTCAAAGGGCAGCACCTGCCCAGGAGAGTCACAGAGACCACAGAGGAAGTGGAAGAGTGCTGCTCCCTGGGGACCCAGCGTGCGCTCCCGTCCGATAAAGGACAAGGGGACAGGAGAGAGCACGATGCTGGGTAAGTGCGGGCCGGCGCACCCCTTCCCGGCGCTGGGCACTCACTGGCTAGAGGCTTGTTTAAGGAACTCCTCGTCCGTGTGCTTGAAGGTGTCCAGGAGGCACCTCTTGACCATTTTCTCCACACAGACTGCGTCCCCTGCTCCACAGGAAGGAGAGAACAGACGTTCAGCCGTGTGCCACAGGCCGTGTGTCACAGGTCGTGTGTCACAGGCCGTGTGTATCACTGTCTGCTCCCAGCAGTGTCTGCTAGCACGGCCACCGTCCCCAGTAGCAGCCCATGAGCACGTCTGGCAGGAACAGAGGGAAGGAGCCTTGTACTCTTGGTAACCACCCAGTCGGAATCGGAATGAACGCCAGTGGCATTCGTCTGTCTCACCTTTGGGGAACTTCCGGATTAAGTTCTGATGCAGATTCTGTGCCGCAAATTTCGAGGCTCGGATGCCTCCGTGTCCATCAAACACAGCGAAGTAGGAGACTCGCGCACTGGGGGAGAAGAGCGAGTCCTTCAGAGTCCCCAGCGACGTGGACGTCCGGCTCCATCCCAAACACCAGCCTACAGGGGTCCCACCCTCCCAAATACCTGTCCCACAGCCAACTACAAGGCTGTGAGCAGGCACCTTTCACAACACACCACGCTCAAAAGCCAAGACGACCTGTTAACTAACTGTCTTTAGGGGAACAAATCAAAACTGAAACCTTTCCCACTGAAGTCCGACTTGGTGCTAACCACGCACACAGAGCTACACAGGACTGAGCAGAAGACCATGAGTGAGGGCCTGAAAGGGCCTGGACGGGCCAGGGTCTGCAGCCAACCACTGCAGGCTGCACGCAGCCCTCAGCCCGCTGGGCGGGTTGCAACCACACAACCAGCCCTGATTTTGGTGTCCCCAGGCACAGGAACGCTTAGCTAGACTGTCGCCCACCAAGCGAGCATCGCGGCAGAAGGTCTAACTGAAAAGGCAGTTCCAGCCCACCAGGCCCTCAGAAAGTCGGGGGTCTCCTTTTGTAACATTTAGCGCCTCAGGGAGCTCAGCTGACCCCGTGGCCCTCGGGTTTGGTGGGAGTCGGCTGTGAGTGTGCGGAAGCATTATGAAGAAGTCAGAGGGATCCCAAGAATTTAAACAAAGAGCCCGAGATATCAAGTCAGCACACGCTGCTGGAAACGTGGCACCAAGGGACGTGCCTGACACCAGACTGCCATAAACCTTTCACCTAGAAATGTGCCTGTGTGCCAAGCACGGGAGGACAAAGCATGCCAAGGCCTCACCTTAAAGCGCCTCCTACCAGTCTTATTAGAACCCCACTCCTACAGAAGGGGCTGTGGGTGAAGGTGTTTCTGGCTGACGGTGACCCCTGGCACTCGACGCTGTGACCTTGCAGAAGCAGCCACCAGGCCTGTCCCGTGAGGCATCTCTGAGTTCCAATAACCAGCCTCTCAGCTGGTGGTGAACACTTGACTGTTGGCGCAACTGGGCACACCCTTTACACGGTCAAGGGCACTCAAGATTGACCTGCTTCAAGGTGCTCGTGAGAAATGACATTTCTGACACAGAGCTGCCCTTTCTTCAAGCATTTCTGCCTCCATTCCTTCCTGACAAGATAAACCCTATCAAGCTTATAGCTCACAGCCCACGGGGGACAAGTGGCTTTCCACAGCGTGCTGGGGCTGAAAGAGGCCTAGAAACTGGCCACTGTGACAACCACCTCGGAAACCACCCACCCACCCCCAACCACCACGCTGGTCCACGGTGCTTCAGGGCCTGCTGCCTGTCCTCCGTGAAACCACCCGCCCCCACACAACCACCACGCCGACCCACGGCGCTTTGTCGCCTGCTGCCTGCCGTGCAGCTCCCTGTCCTCCGTGAAAGCCAGCCCCACAGGAGCTCCCCCTGGGAGTCCATTCCTGTCGACACACAGTCCCCAGCCATCGTTTTCCCGCCCTCCGTACCCCAGCACAGTGTGGACAATGCAGAGGGGACGCTGGCTGATTACTGGCTGCCACTCCTCCCCGCTGACATTTGCCAGGTTTCACTCCAGCCCTGACAACTGGAGACTGGCCTGTGTCACCCGGTCACCTGCACTGGCTCAGGGGTCCCTTGCTCATCAGCAGCGTCCGCCTGTCCTCTAGGGAGTGACCCTGCCGGCCGAAGCCCATGGCTGTCCACTCGGAGTGTACCGAGCACCCCCCGATGGAGACATTCGTCTTCGCGGGGACACGAGGTGCAGCCGCTGGAGTCAAACCATCCGTGTTTTTCTCAGCAGGCCAGTGCCCACAATGCACCACCTCCTGGGGGCTGTGGGTGGGATGTGGGTGTGCCCCGGGAGCCGAGCAGTCGCCTGTCCTCTCTCCACCCCATGCCATCAGCAGCCTTCACCCCTGCTCTGTGACAACAAACACTGTCCAGACACTGACGACCACCGCAGCCAGCCAGGACCCCGGAGCCGACGGGATGATGGAGACCCGAGTCTGTACCCAAGTTCTTCCGACCAGGAAGAACCGTGGCCTTTCTGCCGAGTCCGGCTGTCCAGGTCAGGAAGGGGGCATGCCGCGTGTGGCCACTCACATGAGTGACGCAGGGGGCCGGCACTCCTCCGTGATGTCGTTCAGGATGACGTGGGCATCTTGCATCTCCTCCCGCTCGCCCTTCCGCTCGGCCACGTAGCCCTTCAGACCCAGGATTGCGGACGAAGCTGGGGAGAGAGAGCAAAGCCAATACAAAACTGTGCCCGTCCCCTGAAGCCCGAGGCCCAGAGCGTGGAGGGAGAGGGCGGATTCACTCGGCAGTGTCCCGGAACACCCCGAGGCGCTGCCCTGCAGCAGGCCTGTGACTAACGCCACTCTGTCTGACAGCGCCCAGAACCAAGCAGGGGTGCCAGAGAGGGGTCAGCAGGGACTGTGCCTGTCCAGGAAGGACTGTGAGCACGCTGCACCCACACGCGGGGAGCGACTCCAACAATCGCTCCAGAGCACAAGAGCTCTTGGCTAACTGGGCACAAGGCGGCAGCTGTCCCCAAAGTTACACTAAAATAAGTGTTTTCTTGTTTGAGGTAGGGGAGAATTTAAACAGGAAAAACGAACTGCTTCCACTCTGACAAAGAAAAGGAAGGAACACTGTGGACAAAGCTCTAATCCAAGGGGCAACTAGAACAGTGTAGGTGCACTTCCGGGGAGAAGGGTGGTCCCAGGGTGACCCCTGAGCCATCCCTGCACACCTGCCGGTGCTGATGGGAGACAGCACCTGGTCAAGGACAGTCAGGACAATGTGACGCTTTCTCTCACTGGTTCTTTGAACTCCCTCACGCTCACTTGACCAAACTGACTACAAAGTCCAGTTGCGTTTTCCAGGAAGCTGTTCCTGAAGTTTTTCCGGGAAGCTGCCCGGAGTAAAATCGCCAGCCACAGGGCCAGACAGCAAAGGAGCTGCAGACTGAACCATGACCACCTGGTGTCCTCCCTGGGAACTCCAAGGCATGTCAGGGGATCAGGGGCAGTGGAGAGGGAGGACACAGGTGAGACCCACTACCAGTGTCCACCTGGGGGGACCTCAAGGGTGAGACCCACATCCGCCCTGGAGGACTCAAGGGTGAGATCCACTACCAGTGTCCACGCTGGGGGACCTCAAAGGAGAGCCCCACTACCAGTGTCCACCCTGGGAGACTCAAGGGTGCGCCAGGGAGGTGAGGACAGCCGAGAGCGGAGGACCCACTGTCCCCTCACAGAACGAAGGGAAGGGAAGCGTCAGGGTTACGTGGCTACTTTCCGCTCTGAGCTCTCTGGACATAGGGAGTCTAGTATGTTTTTTTTCAAACTGTCTGAAAACCTTTACAAACTTTCTTTTCCACAAGCTCTTCACTGCCGTTCTTCTCTTCCTCGGCGGGCTTTCTCTTCACCCCTTTCCCCTCATCCGTCACCAGGGATATCGGAGCAGCCAGGGAACCTGGAGAAGAATAAAGGTGGCCAGGCAGAAACACAGCTGGAGACTGCCAGAGCAGTGACAAGACGCAACGTCACTCCAGCCCCAGACAGAGGCCAGCCAGGCCGGCAGGTGGGCACTGGAGTGACAGCGGCCGGCAGGGAGAGGAAGGCCCAGAGTGGTGATGGCGAGATTTCTGCCCATAAGAAAGGCATGTAGGTAGTGACATGGGGTTTATGTTCACAACCTCACTGACCAACACAGATTTCCAGAATCTGCAAACAGACTAATGTGTTTAAAAAAACCCCTCAGACTGGGCAAGTCCAAAAAGCTGCAAGTGCTAAAACCAGGCTAAGTGGAAGTACACACATCCTGACAAGCAAACCTGGGCCACTTGCCACAGGGGTCTGTGCTCACAGAACAAAGCCAGGTCCACCGGCCGCAGGGGCCTGTGCTCACAGGACAAAACCAGGCCCAAAGCTACAGGGGTCTGTGCTCACAGGACAAAGCCGGGCCCACCGGCCGCAGGGGTCTGTGCTCACAGGGCAAAGCTGGGTCCACCGGCCGCAGGGGTCTGTGCTCACAGGACAAAGCTGGGTCCACCGGCCGCAGGGGGCCTGTGCTCACAGGACAAAACCAGGCCCAAAGCTACAGGGGTCTGTGCTCACAGGACAAAGCCGGGTCCACCGGCCGCAGGGGGCCTGTGCTCACAGGACAAAGCCGGGTCCACCGGCCGCAGGGGGCCTGTGCTCACAGGACAAAGCCGGGTCCACCGGCCGCAGGGGCCTGTGCTCACAGGACAAAGCTGGGTCCACCGGCCGCAGGGGCCTGTGCTCACAGGACAAAGCTGGGTCCACCGGCCGCAGGGGGCCTGTGCTCACAAGGCCTGCAGACAGAAGTGCGTCTTTAGAATCTTCTGTCATTCACAGAACCTGCACCCTCAAGTCACTGCATGGGCCTCCCTGCCTCCGTGTGGTTTAATATGGATGAGGACAAAGCAGACTAGGTGTTTGTCACTGTACCCAGTACATCCAAGTGCCCTTCGAGTAAGAACCACTGGCCCAAGGACTGGCATGAGAGGGTCTCACGCATGTGCCCATTTGCTTAACCCACTCTCTGCATTTCTGAGAGCTGAGGGGGCAGAGGTCCCGTGCTTGGTGATGCCCACCCATCAGGTGCTTCCATGATGCTTCCATGACGATCACAGCCTGGAGACCCCACTGGGCAGCCTTCCTCTCTTCCCAGAGTCATGAGTAACTGACTTGTGGGCAACAGTGTGGTCTTGTTTCAGAGGAAAAGGAAACATCCTGGCTCTCAGAGTGTCTATCACTGACAGATGGGCAGACATCTGCCGCAGTGTGGCCGGAGGAGCCGCCCTGGAGCGTAGCGGGGTAAATGTGAGGCCACCAACCAGAAAGGCTAGTGGTTTGAATCCACCAGCCTTTTGTCAGGAGAAAAACTGTAATTGGAGCCATCTGCTCCCACAGTTCACAGCCTCGGAAATCCGGGGGCAGTCCCGCTCTGCTTCCCTCTCCCAGAGCTGGAGTCCACTGCTGGCCACGGTCAGGGTTTGATATGCACTCCACGATAAAGCACAGGAATGGAGAATGGTCATGACGTTTCTAAAGGAACCGTCCCTGGCAGCCTGCCGGCAGCACCCACCCCTCATCGCTGTGTCCACTCCGCCGGCTCGGGCAAGTCCTCACACTGGGCATTGACTTGTGTATACATGGAACCCAACGTACACCAGACCAACCCGCACGGCCAGTGTATAAACAGGAAGATGAGTCCTGTGAGCGTGAGAAGAGTGAGGCGCACACCCTCCACGTACTGGACACAAGACTTTGGCCAAAGACATGGGACAGATGGGTGTGGAGGCACGTGGAGTCCTTGCTGAGGCGGTCACTGTGCTGTGCCCTGCCAACGGTCAAGGGAGCCACGCTGACTTTCCTTCCCTTTATAAACGGTTCAGAGCCCTGTCTGCACATACTAACTTCCATTATAACCTCGAGTGCCAAGTCTTTAAACACCATTCGCTCCCGCAATCTTGCTACTAGGGGCATATTCACAGAAACAGTAACACAAGCTAACGTGCACACACCCATGCCTTCTGCAGCATTGTTTACCAACAAGCACCCGGAACCACCCACATCCTCTGGGGACGGACGGGTAAGCAACCGTGGGACATTCACTCAGAGGCGTACTGAGCGTCACCAGAACACGACCAAGAAATCGTGGAGCAATCCCAACCTGGGGGAATGAGAACCAACCGTGCTGTGCAGTGAAGTCGGTCACAACAAGCCACGGTGGCAGAAGGGCATGACGACAAACAGTAACGAAAGGTTTACACACGGCATCAGTCCTGGAGGGAACAGGACTGAGAAGGCAGCGAAACGGGGAAAAAGGAGAAAAGCTGGTGGGTCGTTGTTGCTGTTGTGGACTAAAAGTAAGAACCTGCCCACAGCTGACCTCCCGCGGCTTGTCAGAGGCTGTTAATCACGCAGGAGACTGCCCGTCCTTCTCTTGCAGAGCAACTGGCGACCTTGAACCACAAACCTTAAGGATTGCCATGCAGTTCCTTACCACTAGAACCCAGAGCTCCTGGGTGATTACAAGGTGTAATCAATCAATCAATCAAAGGCAATTAATGTTATAAAAGAAACGTCTAGAAATGATTTTCATGAAAAACCAGTATGATTGTAAACTTCTGTTCAAAAACAAATCCATTTTGTAAAAATCAAATCCAACAAGACCAGGCTGGAGGTAGAAATGGGCAGAGCTGGCTGTGGTGAGGGACTGGAGGACAGAGGGGGATGCAAATACACAGCGCTCTATTCTGTCTACTCTGAAAGGGTCTACCATAAAAGCTTAGAAACGCTTCTGTCGTCACTGGTAAGGTTTCAGGCTAGCTGTGGCGAGGAACACACTGTGGTTGTGGAGGGACATGGGCCACAGCCTTGAAAAGGAAACTCGGGAGTTTGTATGGAGCTATCCCTCAGACATTTTCTAACACACAGGAACCCTCTAGGACACTTGGTGACTGCAGCTGTCACACACCCTGCAAGGATCTCAAACAGCAGGTCACAAAGTTTCTGATTTTCTAGTCCAGAGCAAAGTTACACTGACAGCAGACTTCAGTCTCCAAAGTATGCGGTACCACTAAAACCCTGAACTATTCTGAGAAGGACAAGAACGGGAACGGACAGGAAGTGAGCATGCGCTGTTGGAAAAACGGAGCTGACAGAACTGGGTGGCACGAGGTGCTGAGAGGACACAGCACGTATGAGGCTCCATGAAACGGGGTCTCGGCCTGGACAGTTAAGGCCAACAATCTTAGGACAACGAGTTATCAACTCAGACCTGAAGCAAACGGAAGGTGAGCCCACAGGAGACAGGCCCGCCCGAGGACACAAGCGCCAAGTGCCCGGGAGGCAGAAGGGGCACATTAGTTGTGACAATGGAGACAGAGCTGCTGGCTTCTTCCCTTCTACTTAACACATTACCGCAAATGACAGCTAGAGCCGTCCTGCATGTGTTTCTAAGCACGGTCGTCAATTTAAAAGTGTGCAGCAATGTGTTAACTGGGACATGAAAGCCAAGTAGGAATCTGAATCAGGGCAGCTAAGGGTGGACTGGAAGTAACTGAGGCGGCGGTTCCAAGACCGCTGGGCACAGTCTCACAGCCAGGGCTCGCAGGCCGCCCCTCCCTGAGATCAAAGCCCTCCTCAACGTCAGCGGCATAAACTAACGGCCTGCTTGTCTGTACAGGTTCAGTCAGGCCCCTGCCTGGGTCACCTGCACAGGTGAGGAGGGCGCTGCAGTGCAGACCTAGGACACCTGCCGACGCAGGGAGCAGACCAGATGCAAAACAAAAAATTCAAAGGAAACGGGTATCCTAATGCTGCAAGTCTGCTCCCCACAGACGAAGTTAGGTGGTCCCGGAGGTCCCACCTCTGCGCCCCGACAGTCCTGCAGAAGCTCGGTAACCTCGTGCAGGGTCACAGGGTGAATTAAGAGTAAAATTCTCTGCACTGAAAGAGCCAGAGCCTGCGGAGAAGGAAACTCCACAATCCCACAGACAGTGAGAGCTCACAAAGGGAGGCAGCCCACCAGTGGGCCTCACACGCCTGCTTCAACGGACGGGCTAGTGAGCCTTCCTCTGCCACTTACCTGGGTCACCGCTGCCAGCAGGTGGGAGATCATCAAAAAGCAAAGGTCCCCCTGGCCCTGAAACACAGCAGAGCACAGAGTGAGCCCATGGCCATGGCCCGCAATCCACATCACACAGCCCACCGGTCACCTTGGCGCGGGCAATGCCCACTGGTCACCTAGGCACGGGTAGTGCCCACCCGTCATGGGCAGTGCCCACCGGTCATCTAGGCACGGGCAGTGCCCACCAGTCACCTCGGCATGGGGAGTGAGACCGACTCCATGTGTCCAGTGGCTGCAGGCACAGCCGTCAGCAGGACCTTGAAGCTATTTTATCTGAAAGTCCTACCATCTCAAAGGGAGCTCTGGTGGCTTACTGGTAAACAACCAAAACAAAAGTTCACGGTTCAAATCCACCAGCTGCTCTGAGGGAGAAAGACCGACAATCTCTTCACATAGATTAACTGTCGCTGAAAACACGCTGGAGGATCAGCTAAGGGTCAGTTCCCACTCGATGGTCACTCAACAACAACCACCACCATCTTGAAGCAAATGTGCCTCAGAGAGCTTGGAACTCTGAGAGGAGCCGGAGACCCACTGCCCAGCTCGGACCCGGCACTGCCCAGCACGAGCACAAACGGATTCTCTGCCTTACCTGATGCCAGGGATTCAAAACTTAAAACAGGCCAACACCTAAAACATCTGCATGTTAAAAATGGGGGAAAGGGAGAAAGATTGAAACCACTCCGATCCCAGGATGAGTAGAGACGTTGACACACACCTGGGAGAGCCTGAAGACTGTACCTGAGTCAGTACTGCTGGCCGGGGGGAGGTCATCGAAGAGCAGGAGTCCCTTCTGGGCATCTTTCCCTGAAACACAGAGGTCATGAGAGAGGACAAGGCCACAGGCCAGCGTCATTTTCAGGAATGGGGGGGGGGGTGCCCCTGATATTGAGAGAAGTTAACAAGCAAATATTGCTGACGCTAGTGGACATTATTCTGTTTAAAAAATCGTGCCCTGGACAGTCCAGCTGTCTAATAAGCCAGTTATGTACAGGGACACATACACAGCAGCAAGGAGTCACTTCAAATGTCCAACAGAGACTTTAAGACACAAAAGGTATTTTTAGGAAAATATCTTTTCTGATAACACTAAATGCAACCCACAACGCAAACAATTTCATTACAAGAGACTTCTAGAAGAAAAATCCTGATTCTAGAGCAAGAAAACAATCATTTTGCTCAAGACAGATGTTTAAAATTAAGAGACTCTTCTCTTAAAAGGTCTTCAAGGTCTTGAAAATGTCTCCTCTCAGTAAGATTCTGATAAAACCTCAAGCACACAACACGAGAGTAGGTGATGATGGCTGAGCGAGCGGGCTGGTGTACACCAGGCTGGTGCATGCACATCAGTCCAGTGTGAACTGCCCTCCTGTGAACCAG